TTGGACAAGCGGCTATGGTCTTGTGGAGGGAGGTTATGCTCCAATTAGTGGTTGACTTTTGTTTTATTCAGAGTTATTTTCATTTCAATCAATAAAAGAAATTCTTTAGTTCAATTCCATTCTTTCATTATTATTTTGCTTAGTTTGAGTGTGTGAGAGGTTCTTCTGGTTAAGTTTTGTACTTAGGTACGTAACAATTGGTCCGACTTGTCGAATCGATAGAGCGGAGGGAGAGGCCTGTCGGATCCTAATAGAGAGGAGTGAAAGACATCATGGAGGGAAGAATGAATGCAATTGAAGGGGAATTGAGAGCATGGGGCAGAGGGACTGGAGAACCATGAGCTGTCCATATAAGGAGGTTTGAAGGCGGGTGGGTGGATTCACCATGAAGTGCAACCAGCTGGAAGAGAAGGGAAAGGTTTAAGAGTTACCATTATTGGACGGGTTTGATCCTTGAATTGGATAAGTAGAGCAATGATAATTTTTTTTGAACTACAAGGGGTGTTGAGTGGGGTGTCAGGAAGAGGAAGGTGTTGCCAGCCTACATCGTATGAGGAAAAGGCACTGGGTTTGATTGTGGAAGGGGGGAAAGCTAAGGATCGTTCTGGGAAGTTTAAAGAGCGATGGTGCATTCCGATTCGTAGAGAAAAGAAACACGGGGTCAATCTTCGAAAGACTGGGCGGCCAGTGTAAACAGTCGGGGAAACGTGGAAGAATAGTCCAAGCTCCAAACGGGAAGGGACTGTGCTGTGGAAACAGACGATGGGGGGGTTAGTAGACGTTGGTCCCACAGTGAGTGAAACGGGTGGAACTAAGGAGATGAAAGAGAAAGGACTTACCGGAACGAAGGGAATGAGTGAGCAACGATCGGGGAAAACGAACGTGGGAAACACTGCTGTTGGAACGAAACAGCTAGTACTGCGGAGAAAGAATGGACGACTTTGGAAGGAAAGGGCAGAGACAAAGATGGAAGAAAGGAATTCAATGCACGGGACCACCCGCCCCCGAGAACAATGAATTCTGTGAGGAGGGGGGCCAGCGGAAAGAAGGAAGGGACCCAAGAACAGGGGTTTTTTGTGCAGAGTTTTTAGTTTTTGATTACACGCAGAAGGGGGATTTGGGAGGGAGGAGAGCGGACGTGAAGTACTGATGAAAGACATCGAAGACCAATTCCTCAAATGGCGGTGACCAGAAGCTGGACGGAGAGAGAATGGAAAAGACATTGGGGGAAGATTTTCCACCACCCAAACCTCCAGACCCAATTGGAGGGGGCAACAAGCAAGTGAGTACTCTTCATATGATAAAACGATATGAAGAGAAGCCAGGGATAAAGTTTCACAATTCCAACCTTGAGGAAAAGGGTGTTGTGACCCACACAGAAGAAGGGTTATATGGTGAAGGAGGAGAAGGTAGGGGGGGGGGAATGGGAAGAAGAAGGTGGGGAAAAGGTATATAAAGAAGGGACGGAGGAGAAAAAGAAGGTAGGAGGGGGGAAGGAAGGTGGGGAGTGAAGACTAAGAAAAGATTGAATGGGATGAAAGGAAAAAACAGGTGTAGAAGAAAGGGTGGGAGTGCGAAAGGGGGCAGAAGTATAGAAGGAAAAGTGGAACGGCTGGATGATAGAGAGGGAAACAGAAACAGTAGGAGCGGAAGGGGGAAGAAAGATGAAAGGAGGGAAGGAGAGGATGAGACAAGGCCGAACGATGAAAGGCAGATATCGAGCAGGCCGATGGGGGAGACAAATATCGAGGGCAAGCCGACGGTGGGAAGGAATGGAAGTGAGTAGCCGACGGTTTGAAGAAGAGCTTACCATCCCTAACTATCAATTTGTTAGGATGGGAAGGGAAAGAATTACAGGAAAGGGAGATATATTTGGAGGAGGAGAGAAATTCACGTAAAGGATAATTTAGAGTAAATAAATATATATTCCAGGGAAATATACAATATAAGATATTTATAATGAATGATATATGCTAGGGAAATATACAGGGGAATATTTACATTAAATATAGGGATATTTATATTAAATATAGATATATTCTAGGGAGATATTTAGTATGAGATGAGCGGGAAAAATTAGTATAAATAAAGCAAGAGTCTAGGTTAAGGGTATGTTTTGATTATTGAGTCTTGTGACCAGAGGTATGTGTTCGGTGAGGGGGTTATGACTCCCAAGTAATTGAAGGGAGGTTTATGCGCTCAATATTTTTTACTTGTGTTTATCAGATATTCCATCAATAAAAGGAAAAATTCTTTAATTCAATCGTCCATTCGTTCAGTTATTTTGCTACTTGAGAGGTGTGTGACGGAGGTTTATTTGTTTTTTTTAAGTTTCGTACTCAGTTATTGTAACAGAAAAATGAGTTAACAATTATTACTTATGGAAGAAGCCTCAATTAGCTTTACATGATATTTATAAAAATCAGATTTTGGAGAAACTACTACGAAATAGCGTCTACTATTTAGTTTATGCGTAAACTAATTCTAACTTATGGGGAAGTTCGATTCATTTTACTTATTTTTCTCTTCTATCAGTGTTTAGGAAATTTGGAAGAGGTTTCTCAAAAACAGGCCCATAATATGGACTGTTATGTTTTTGTTTTGGTTGGGATGAACTGATAGTGGAGAGGTAGTTATATAGGAGGAGTAAGACTAGAAGGCTATTTTTCCCTCTATTGTTCCATTCAGATCGGCAATAGCTCTGGGTAGGGAGTCAGTTAACCATCTCATTTATACCCCAGAAGATGTTTAACTCACTTTCATTTGTTGAAGAGTTTACCTCTATTCATTTATTTTCCAAACCACAATATGATGAAATCTCCTGTTCATTTATTTGCAGTGAGCCTGATGAATTTTTTTGTCTCCCTTCAGGTGGAAAACCTGACTCGAAAAGCCCAGCTTCAAGAAGTGGAGTTGGAAAGAACAACTAAACAGTTGAAAGAAGCAATAGCAATTGCAAGTGAAGAAACTGCCAAATGCAAAGCAGCAAAGGAAGTGATCAAGTCACTTACTGCCCAGGTAGAAACTCTACCCCACGAGCCACTTTTAAAAACTATATTCTTACTACAAACATCTACAAGTCTCACAACTCAGCCAAATTAGGGAGACCCAAAATATTCATTTTCATATTGGGTGTGCACAAGATAGAGCGGATGGGGAACATTTTATTTTTGCTTTTTCATTTAAAATAAGCTAACTATATCTAGAGAAACGTTATCAAGTACATTCTATCCCTAGTGATGCTTTCTTTCGATATTTTATTAGACCTGGTCTAGCTGAGCAGGATGAGGCTTGTAAATGAAAAAATAAGCCATTGCCGCCGTAAATGCTATTTGTTGTCTTGTCTGTAATAGAGCTTTATTCGAGGCAAGTAGTTATGAGCCTTGGTCTATAAATTATAACTAGCTTTTGTTTATCATAAACAATATTGAGAAAATTTACATTCAAATTCAAATCTTGCTTGGAGGCCAAGTAGTGTACATATTAAATGGAGGACCAGCCTCTGGAAAACATCCCTAAATGACAAGAATGAGGAAAATCTCACAGAACAGAAGCAATGCATTGATTTTAATAACTTTACCAAAGCTTAATATATCCTAATAAAACTTAGGGAAGCATGAATAAGTTACAGTTGGGCTCAATTCAACTAAAAGCTAAACTGGTGGATTTAAAATTTTAAATTTTAACTTATGCCTTGTGGATATATACTGGATGTATCAGGACTTGTCTTACATGTCTGTTTCTTGCACTGAATAGTTGAAGGACATGGCCGAGAGGTTGCCTGTAGGAGTGTCTAGGACTGTCAGATCACCACCCTCTCTTGCTTCCTTTGGCCCAATTCCTGGTTTCCATGACCTTAACAATGCTCCCTTTGATCGATTGAATATTCAAGCAACAAGCCCAGAATCAGACTCAACTGGATCCAATAACCAGTTACTTTCAAATGGATCAAGCACCATCATCAACAGGAGTGCAGGTCACATAAAACATAGTCAGTCAGATGCTACTAGCACAGGTCACAACAAACATGGTCAATTAGATGCAGGTAGTAGAAATGGAAGCAAAACAAAGGATAATGAGACTGAATGGGTTGAGCAAGATGAACCTGGTGTATATATTACTCTCACCTCCCTACCAGGAGGTGTAATAGATCTTAAAAGAGTTCGCTTCAGGTATAGAATGCTCTATTTACTATATTTGCATATTTTTTGGTCAACATACAAAACACTTCACCTCCAAATTTGGTAATGCTAGGAATGCACTTTCTAATGCCTCTTTTCCATAACATTTTCTATTTTTAGTTGGAATTCATGTGGGTCTCACCATTGTAGAAATAGAACTACTAGTGGAACCTACATGAATGTCAACCAATTATGATGGAAAGAGTGCGTAACGTATTGGCATCTCATGTTATAGGGTGTAAGCTTTGACAGGCAGTTTCCTACCTAAATGCTTTATCCCATTTTTGGTTTGTGACGAGAAAAAAAGGCTTTGCTAGCTATTCAGATAACTCTGTTGCATTTCAAATTTTAGTCATATCATATATAACTTGGGTTTAACCTTGCAATGGTAAATGCAGTCGGAAACGGTTTAGTGAGAAACAAGCAGAACAATGGTGGGCCGAGAATCGTGGAAGAGTGTATGAGCAGTACAATGTGCGCACGATTGACAAATCGACAATAGGTGTTGGGAGTGAGGACCTGCCTCATTCATGATAAAGCAAGAATACGCCATTAATTACATACATCTGGCTGCGATCCAATATAAAGCATCATTAGGAGAAGTAGGGATTTGATTGTGGTTTTGAAATTCCACGTCTTTAACTTTTTTCTTTTCTAATTTGATTACACTTTCCATTTTTTTTCCCGTATATGTAGATTATCAGGGGGTTGAGGGAGAAATGTAAATTCGTAGTAGCTTGTTGGCTCTTGTTTAAAGTAGCTGCGATGTAAATTTCATAAATTTTTCTCTTACACCGGTTATACCTTCAGCCGTGGGATATAGATCGCTTTAACTAGTTGATTTATATAGCCTCTGCCAAATGCTCTCTTTTTCCCACTCCAGTATTTCCAAGCATTACGTTAAGACTCTCATTTGACTACCAATATTGTTTGCTATGTAACCATTATTTCCTTATCATAACATCCAAAATTGGTGAGCTACTTAAGGAAATATCTTATTGGAGCAACTCTTCTAGTGTTTTAATATTAAAAAAATGTGAATTTTGGGTTTTCTGGTGATTTTATTTTAAGCAACCGTAAACAAATTATTATTTTATATTTTTGTTTAAACTTATTATGATATATGTAACATCTTTTTTGCTTCCATAAGTCTTATGAGTAACACTGTGTCAGGCTCACTTTTCCTACTTCTATAAGTCTTACAAGTATATTCTTATTGAAATGAAAATGTTTGTCACACACTAAACACCAACAAACTTAGTTCCCCATAAATGCAGCATAAGGGCAACAAGGTCTAATCCATGGACTCAGTTCTTGTTAAGTTTTGGAGTGTATTTTACTAACTAAACAAGGTGGGAAAATATGAAAAATGAAATTGAAAAGGAAAGTAACTAACTATTAATGCAAAAATGCATGATTCTAATTAACACAATTAAAAGGACATAAACTAATGACATTATTATTTATACCAATCAATAACAGACCATGAACCTACAAATGCTATGTCTAAATGGTGCAAAGAAAATAAGAAACTAAACATAAACTTATGAATACTATGAAACCTACAAATGCTGTCTAAATGGTGCAAAGAAAATAAGAAACTAAACATAAACTTATGAATGCTATGAAATAGGTAATCCATTGGCTAAATAAGATCACCTTGATACCAATCAATAACAAACCATGAACCTTTTTACTTGACTAAATAAGATTACCCTGATATTAATTCATTAGTATCCCCTCTGAGCCTTAAATCTTTTTTTCTTATTTTAAGCAACTACAAAACCTTGGCAAGAAAAAGAGCATGATATCTTTAATCTTATGATGAAAGAAGGAACTAATGCATTATGTTAGAAATGAGTGATGAATAAAGTGTGTGAGTGAGTACCTCACCCCAAAAATAGTAAAAATGGCAAAAGGAAGAAAAAAAGTTTCATGGGAAAAAAGAGGGTGAAAGGAAAAAAAGAGAACAAAAAAAAGTAAAAGTGAGAAACAAAATGTAGAAAAAGAAGGATAATTGTTTTCAAGTGAAGAAAGAAAACAATATATTTGTTTTTCAAAATCTTTGCTCCTTAATTCTTTCTTTCCAAATTTTTTAAGCTTCTATAACCTAAATTTTTCCTACCTTTGCCTTGGCCACATTACCACCTTTGAAAAGTCCTCATGATCTTTGAATGCATATTTGTCAAAAGTATGTGAATATTAGAATCTTGCTAAGTTATGGTAATGTTTACATACATGAGTATTTTGAATGCAAACACAAGCCTAAACACTTAAGAGAGCATTGGTGAGTGAATATACATTTGAATTTGAGTGATCTCTTTCATACTTGATTACTTGATAAATTCAAAAGATTAACTCATGTGTTTAAAATAGATTTTTCCCATTCGCATGATTCATGACAACTTGATTTAGAAATTTGATTAGTTTTCAGTGAAGTTCTTTTCCTTTGGTTTAATGTTGATATGAATATTGATCCGGAATAAAGTTCTGAAATTACTAAAGTTTGCTTAAGAGTGCAAAAGGACAAGTGTGGGGGCATTAAACAATTCTGATTGAAACTTGAACAACTCAAATTCAACTTACAACACCATAGTTAATGCATACAACACTTCGAAAACTAAGAGAACCAATACAACTTTAACCCAATTAACAACACTATTCCAATTACCTATAACACAATTTTAAGCCTACACAACACTAAATCAAGCTTAAACAACATTAAATAAACTTCTAACATCATGGATCAAAGTATAACAACTCGACTTCCTCTTAAAACCAGAAAATAACCCAATATAACTTAAACCACCACGATCAAAACACTGCACTATACCTATCACCATGCATCAACCCCAAATTCAACACTTGATATATAAAATAATATATCAACCAATATCAATGTATTGAACAACCAAAACATGGTCTATGCTAAACCAGAACTTTTGCATAGAAACATCGCGTACATAGTTTCTCTAAACATGTTGCAACAAGCATATTAACCTTCAAAACCATATCATTTATCCATAACTACTTTAGTAAAAAGAGTACACATCCAAAAAATTATATATATATATATATATATATATATAACCTTCAATACCATATCATTTAACTCTCAATACCCTCAATAAGAACACTACACAATTTGGTCCTTAAAAAAAACGTAACCGAAAAACACTATACTATACCTATTGTCAACACCCAATTTCGTCCGGATGTTCTCTTGGTTTTATTTTATTTTTATGCTCTTATTATTTGTTTGACTATTAGGTTTTATTATATGTAACTCCTTTCCTATATCTTATTTTTTATTTATTTATTGAACTTGTTTATTTGCTGCACTCTAAACATAAAAAAAGAGAGGAGAAAATAGATATAAAAAAGTAATAACAAAAATAATGTTTTAAAGGTTAAGCACACGTGTGAACAAAAATAATGTTTTAAAGGTTAAGAACACGTGTGACCGCTTGCATCGTCCTTGTGCTAGAAACATTTTCTTTTTCTTAACGTGTGACTGCTCGCGTCGTCCTTGTGCTAGAAACCTTTTCTCTTTCTTGTAAAAAAAATAACAAAAATATGTTTTAAAGGTTAAGCACACGTGTGACCGCTCGCGTCGTCCTAGTGTTCAATACATTTCTCTCTTATTTAAATAATTAAATGAGGATATGGGTGCTCGTGCGATCGTCCGCATCAACCTAGTACTTAGTATCCTCAATATTAAAAAAATTAAATAATGGTATGAGTGCTCGTGTGACCGTTCGCGTCGGCTTAGTACTCATTACCTTCTTTTTCTCAAAAATATTAAAAACTTAAAATCTTCAAAAGTTAAAAACATCTACTTTTTCAAACAACAAACAATCTCTTAGCCAGAACTACGTGATCCTTGATTCTCCATCAAAAGTGGAGATACGTAGGAGCAAGGTTAGCCCTTGTCAGGTTCACTTCCCAAAAATCCAAAATCATTTCCAAACAAAATTCTCAAACAATTTCCTAAACAAAGTTTCAACACAGTTTCCAAAAGAACTACATAACCATGATTTCTCATTTTGAATGAGAATACGTAGGAGCAAGGTCAATCCTTGTCGGGCCCAAAAAACTAAAAAAATATATTTTGTTTCTTTAGAGTTTTATTTTAGCACCACTCTTGGTAGTCGTCTCCCCCTTTGTCTCTGCCTTGCAATACTTTGCAATATGGTCTGCCTTGCAAAACTTTGAAAAACGGTTTGCCTTACCACAATTGTAGCACTTGCTTGATCTATACTTGTTTGCATAGTGGTCATACTTGCCACACTTAAAACACTCAACACCTAACCAATTTCCCCGACCTTTTCCTTGTCCTTGGTCATGCCAATTCTGCTGACCGGTTTGCTCTTCACTATCATTCTCAAAATTACCTTGGTCATGTCCACCTCGTCCTCGGCCTCGGCCTCCTCGCCCTCTGTCGCCAGACCTCGGCTTTGAGTAATCCGAGTTTTATTTGAGTCAAACTGTACCTGTAGTGCTTGATCGTCGGGTTAAACCTAATCATCCCAACTCCTTGTCCTTTGTTTGTGGGCTTCTAATGACCTAGCAAGTTCATCAACTATAAGAACCGACAAGTCCTTCAATTCTTCGATGGTGCAAACGATACTTTTGAAATCTTTTGTAAGGGGTCTCAAGATTTTTTCCACAACCCAGCTAGATGACATTTGTTCTCCATTCCTGCCGAGCTGGTTGGCCACCTTCTCCACCTGAGTTATGTACTTGGTTATATGCTCTTTAGGCTCCATCTTTAACTGTTCAAACTCTCCTCTAGAGCTTGTATTCAGACTTGTCTAACGCGGTTGTCACGTTTATACGCCACCTCCAATATCTCCCAGGCTTCCTTTGCTGATTTAACATTCGTTATTTTTTCGAATCCGGACTCATCTACTGCATTGTAGAGAAAATACAATGTTGACCCACCTCTTGCACGTGTTTTCTTTAATGTAGCCATTTGTGCCACCGTCTGATGTTTGTCTACATCAGGTTCAACGTACCCGTCTTCCACCATATCCCAAATGTCTTGAGATCTCAATAACGTCTTCATTTGTAGGTACCAATTATCATAATTAGTTTTTCTCGTCAACTGTGGCACACTCATACCATTGATAACCTTTGCCATCTCTCTCACAAAAAAATCAAGCACTCACTTTTTTCCTCACGATGTTTGACTCTCTCTCTCCTTTTCTCTCTCTTGGTACTTAGAGCATAAAGCTCTTATACCACTGTTGGCTCTATCGAGGAGGAGGTTCACCGGAGAGACACAAACACCAATGACATTTGAGCCCAATCATATAAGAGATTGACACCACTCTTTACCCAAAACCTTAAGGCAATGGATTAATGGGTCTTTCATCTTTATATAGTGTTTTACTTTCTTATTTCTATCCAATGTGGAACTTGGAATCACACTTGGATTCCCAAAAATAATGTGTTCATCTAAGTTGATGAATCCGTCGTATTTTCAAAAGTTGGCATTTTTCAATTGTCCCATATTTTCATGATTCCTTTCATAAAAGGGTGTCGAAGTTGGGATGGGTTGACTAAGGTCAACGAGGAGGGTCAATATCCTAGGTTATCTGCACAACTACTTTCTTGAACCGNCAAAAGTATGTGAATATTAGAATCTTGCTAAGTTATGGTAATGTTTACATACATGAGTATTTTGAATGCAAACACAAGCCTAAACACTTAAGAGAGCATTGGTGAGTGAATATACATTTGAATTTGAGTGATCTCTTTCATACTTGATTACTTGATAAATTCAAAAGATTAACTCATGTGTTTAAAATAGATTTTTCCCATTCGCATGATTCATGACAACTTGATTTAGAAATTTGATTAGTTTTCAGTGAAGTTCTTTTCCTTTGGTTTAATATTGATATGAATATTGATCCAGAATAAAGTTATGAAATTACTAAAGTTTGCTTAAGAGTGCAAAAGGACAAGTGTGGGGGAATTAAACAATTCTGATTGAAACTTGAACA